TGCTGAAAACAGCCCTGCAAATACCCAGAGATTAAGTTCTGTTCCACAGTTTCCGGTACTGAAGTTATTTCAAGCCTGCTAAAAACACAAGGGCAGTCTCTGCCTTGTCACTTCTTGAGTTCAAAACAAGAAATGGAAAGTTTTCTAATGATGTTTGACATGAGTTGAGAAAGACTTCATAAGAAGCAAATTTTTGACAGTATTTTGGATTCTCTTCAAGAATAACCCGTATACCTACCCCCAAAGCTGACCATCTCACTTTTAGAACATGATAGCAACTAGTTTCAGTTTAGGCCACACCTGACAATCAAAACCAAAGAAAATCCTTAAACTGAAATTATTTTCCTTTCATAGATAGCCATCGAATCAGAGATGTTACTTGGGCCTTTAATACAGGAAATATAATGAAATGAAGATAAGTATTACCAGATTAACTGGTATTAATCTGGTATTAATAAGTATTACCCAGACTAACTGTCAAAATAAAACACTACTGAAGACATATAGTGTACAAAAATTACCAAAAATCACTGTGTACTCTACAAACTCCTTTAAAATGGGGTCCCTTCATCAAGGGTCTTAAGTATAGCTGTAGAATCTACAAATGCCAGTTTATTCCTGATTTCGAGAAAAGACACTTGTTTGCTTACAGATTCCAGCCAGCCAGAGTATCCACACTCCCAGATCTCTCTCCTAGATAGGCTTAAGAGCTCATGAATGAGCAAGATTCAAAGTCCCGTGGGAACAGCAGGACAGATCCCACGTTTAACAGTTACTGCTCCAAACTGTCTGCAGCTTGTCTGCTTGCATCAGTTTGTTTTGTCCTGTGAGCATGGCCTTTTTTAACTGAAAGCTGGGATTCTGAAAGATAAGATGACAGCATGAGAAAAGTAGGCTATTTTGGGAAAATCTAAGTCTAAAATTGCAGTAAAGCTGTGAGTCAGAGAACTACGTTGGCAGATTTTTATTTGAAATAAAATTTCCAATGAGAAAACGCCTCATCTCAGCTGACAGAATCAGATCTTTCTAGGAAGTCAGGTTATGTTAATTAAAAGTAACAAAGCAAGTATTTGATTGAAAAAGCATGAGTTTGAAAAGTGAATAACACAGAATAAATCCAATTTTTGAAAAATGTGGTTTGTAGGACATAGAAAAAGATTTCACAGCTGATGATAAAACCCAAAGCAATAATCTAGAAATCAAATACAAATACACAAAATACATGCATTTCATAATCCAGAAACCAAATACAAATACGCAAAATACATGCATTTATAGTCAATGATAGCACTAACAGCAAGTGCATCTTGAGATTAAAAGGGGAAAAAAAGTGTTCACTGCATGAAGGAGAAAGGAAATGTTCTATCTTCTCCAAAGTGACATTTTCAACACTTCTGCCTTACTTTCTAATGCATTCTGATGGCCCAGAGACAGTTTACATGCTTACATCTTTTAAAACATTAAATATGTGGTAAAAATTATACTAAGCAAAGAGCTTAGTCTAAATTATACTAAGCAAAGAGCAAAGTCTGCCCTCTTTCAGTTTAAATCCAT